GACTCAAATATGATACCATTTTAAGCTCATATTTAAATCATTTTAGGATTATAATATGATCATTTTCACTTCATATCATAAATGAGCCATACATGTCTCATTTATGTCTCATTTCCTGCGACCTGGGGATAAGCCTCAATTCTTTGAAGTTCAGCGCGTCAAAGCGAGAAAAGTTTATGTGAAAGTTCTTAACTATAAAGTAGTCGCAGCAGAAACCAATGAAGAAATTAAATAATAACATTAACCAAAGCTCGAACTTTCATATGTAATGGTGAAATTGAGGTTAAAAATTAAACAAATAAAGTTATACATGTACAAAAGAAAGATGTACCAAGATTGATTGTAAGAAGAAAAATAAACTGTCATAGTTATTCCCAACAAAGTTATTTTTCAGTGACATTCTTTTTTTGTTTGTATTTTAGATCGAAAATGTCAAATATACATCATAGTGTAATTGAGCTGCTTGCAGTAGAACTATGGCGAGAAGTTTTTGATTATTTCAATGTGAATGATCTATGGTATTCATTTCGTGGTTGAATAAAAAAATTGATGGAATTATTGATCAAACACAGTTACATTTAAATTTTGAAAAAGAAGGCAATTATGATTATTTTATAAAAAATATTCAATCATCAATAAACGGTGCTAATCTTCAATCATTAAAATTACAAAAAGCCAATGAAATAAAACATTTTTTTTCTATCTATTCTCTTAGTTCATTGATTCAACTTCGTTTATTATCATTAAATTTTATGTATTCTTCTAATGACAATTCATTTAAATTTTGGAATCAACTTTCATCTTTAAAATATTTACGATCATTGAAAATTATATTTTTGCCCAATGATTCTGATAGTGTCATTGAAGAAAGAGAATTTATTATTCTTTCGATATTTAATCAAGATTTTTGTCCTTTACTCACTTGTTTTATCATCGATACTTATGGCACGAGCAGATTGAAAGCTAAAATTCCTTCATTAATAAAAACAACTAAAATAACCAATATAAAATATTTCTCGATTGACTGTTGGACTTTTAGTGATTTGATTAAATTACTTTCTGGATTACAAAATATTAAATCATTTTGTACGCAGCACGAGTTATCTTATGATGAGGAATTTAATGAATATCATAAAATGACAATTGCAATGCCATTGATGCTTAAGTGCATTAAGTTGAATCTGTCGTTATCAGACGATATAACTTTTGAACACG